TAGATGAAGAAGAACAAAGTCTCACAAGGAAGCAAGAATCCTGGACAGTCTTTATTTCCTTCCTTTAAAATCTTCGTTTACTCATCTTTCACTTGACACTGTTCCTCCAAGAAGCCCGGATATTTCAGGCAGTGTGGATCTCCTCCTTGGAGAGGCCCAGCCCTCTCTTCCTACTTTTTCAAAGTTCTCTTCTCCTAAGGTGGCTGAGAAGGATGAGGAAGATATGCCTGGGAAGCAATACCCTGCTTTCCTAAATCCCTCCCCAGCTAAGAAGGATTTTAGCAAGTCTTCTAAGCCATTTTCATTTTCCCGTCTGAGCCTAACGGTCATGTTCACTGCTCTCCTCTGGCTTTTCTTACTTGAGGTCTCCACTGACCTTTCCCTGCATTGACCCGGAATAAGGGGAGATAAGGCTGGGCCCTGGGGTGGCTGTGGACAGATGAGCATTTGTGAGCTGTTCTCGTTCATTCAGAGGAACCGCTTAAGATAATACTCCATGGAATTGTACTGAGCCTGCTAGGATTTACAGTGTTGTTTGGCAGCAGAAGTCATTGTTAACATGAAACATTAAACTTCTTTGTCTTCTTCTGTGTTCAGGGACCTGGCTGGATGGGTGTCTGATCAAAGGGAGTGTTCCATATCTCAGGGCTTTCTTCCAGAAATCACTAAAATAGTACACTTACAGCTTTCACCTTTATGAGCCTCTAGTTCAGAATGATTTCCTTCTATGTAGTTAATAAATGATCATTAAATTGATCAAGTTATTAATACCAATAAGAAGATGAACTATAAAATCTATAGCAAAGTAAATATAATTGGAAATCAGAGCAAGAGTTTTCCCAGACAAGCCAATGTTGACATAGAAACCAAGTAATACCTCATGTGGCAGAACAAGATGGTGCAGAGCTATAAGGAAGCTCAGGTAGAGTCTTTTTTTTTTCCCTAGAAACCAAAAATAAGAGCAGGTCATATACAAAGTGATGAGCTGTTAATTAGAAACCAGCATATACTGGGCGCCTGGGTGGCTCAGTGGGTTAAAGCTTCTGCTTTCGGCTCAGGTCATGATTCCCGGGTCCTGGGATTGAGCCCCGCATCGGGCTCCCTGCTTGGCAGGGAGCCATCTTCCCTTTCTCTCTCTCTGCCTGCCTCTCTGCCTACTTGTGATCTCTGTCTGTCAAATAAATAAATAAGATCTTTAAAAAAAAAAACCAGCATATGCTAAAAACTGAATTTATGACTACCATGGGTTTTAAAGAAAAAATATCCAAAAGGTAGAAAGGACTCAGGTGAATTGTATACAACCCATAACTAAACTGAAGACAATAGAAAGACTGAACATGGGGTGCCTGGGAGGCTCAGTCAGTTGAGTGTCTGACTCCTGATTTTGACTCAGGTCATGACTTCAGGGTCATGAGATCAAGCCCTGAGTCAGGTTCCAAGGTCAGCGTGAAGCCCGCTTGTCCCTTTCCCTCTGCTCCTCCCCAACCCCACATGCTCACTCTCTCTCTCTCTCTCTCTCTCTCTCTCAAATAAATAAATAAATAAATAAATAAAATCTTGAAAAAAAAAGTCTAAACTCATACAGGAGAGGATAAGGAAAAATTTGACAGTTGAAGACCAACCTGAAGAAGGAAGAGAAGATATCTAATTGTATCAAAATGTGAAACATTCCAGAGAGCACAGAATGAATCCCACAACCTGGTATATTCAGGCTGTCTGCACGAAGCAAGCAAGCAAATTTATTTTAATTTTTGGACAAAAAATTACTCTTCCTTCTTATCTTTTGCTTACATAGTGCTAAAGTATTTGTTAAAGATTAAGGATTTTCTAAGGACTAACCTACTGCCAATTATAAAAACTTTTGTGGAAAGTGCCCATTTTAATAGTTGGGGAGAAAAACTATAATTGAACAAAAATTTTAATGCAGTTGTTATTAAAAGAAACAGGTTTCTTGGCTGATAAACAAGCACTCCCATCATTGTGCGTCGGACAATTATCTTTGAAATGTGGGTTTGTGGTTGGTGAGGAGAGAACCCTATGAGAGGCTCTGTTGTCTCCTTGCCATGATGGGAAGGCAACGCAGACCTGCAGAGGTGGCATTTGCTTTCCATTTCCATCACCCATTCACCCTCTAAATGCTGACTAGGCCACATAAAAATTATTTTAGCTTAGGTAACTAAACCTTTCAATATAGCTCAAGTCCATGAAAGCAAAACAAAAACAAAAACAAGCTTCCTATTACAAAGTATGTAATCCTAGATAAATTTTGACTTGCCTGGTTTAGTTTAGTGGACACTTACGCCTTAGTAATGTTCTCACCTAATCTTGTCTGCGTTAGAAGCTAAAAAAAATCTTTATCCTTCTTTCCTAACATGTTCTTAGGCAATCATTAGATTGGAGGGACCCTCAATTCATTTAATCCTGAATATGGGTTCCCAAGCCATCATCTCCTCCTTTGAGATACCCACCATTGCAATGTACATGCTTCCCATATTCCAAGGAATAAAATCAAATAAACATGGCGGTATGTTCTCAATGGCAATGTCCTTCTCTCCGAAAAGCTGGCTGCTGAATTGAAGAAATGTTAAAAAAAAAAAAAAAATCAACAAATATAGTAGTAGAGTGGTGGTTCTTAACACCGTCTACATATTTGAATCTTCTGGGATCCTTTCAAAACCATGCTGTGAGCAAATCCAGCCTTAGATCTGCGCATTCAGAATCTGTAGTCAGGAGAGCTCTCCCAGTACTGCCAACACACAGCCACATGCAGAATGGCTCCAAAGGCATATAATCGGTGCAGAAGACACAGAGTTTAGGTCAACAAAATCTTTGAGTGCCTACTGGATGCCGCTCAAAATGCAGTTGCAAATTTGGGGAAAATGTCTGAATGATTAAGAGCCCATAGTAAATTCCATTATTTAATACTTCAAGTATTTTCTTTTGTTAATGTTTACTTGAACACTCATCAAAGTGATCGATACAATTCAGTACCTCAGTTTATGTGGTGGATTTTGGCCCTTTGCAATGTGGTATTTATTGAAAATCTAATTCATTAAGAAGCCTTCCATATAGAACTATGATTTGAGGTCTATAATCCCAGATCCCCACTGGGCTGCAGAAATCAGTATATCCAACATCACTTACTGAAGAGAAGCTAAAAGAAACGTTACACAATTGTACTTACACAGAATTCTTCATAGACCCAGTATGCTTGCAAATGTTTAAAAATTGTTCTCTATGTGTATATGACATATTTTCCCCAAGCAAGGATTCATTTTATGCCAATTTTTCAAAATTATTTAGTATATCATTTCTATCATATTTAATGAAAACAATTACATCTGCATAGAAGGCATTAAAAAAACAATAGAGTGAAGAATCCTAGTAATAAAAAGCCTGAATTGATACCTAAAAATCAATCTGGGATGTAAAAAAATGGTACTAGCATCTTAGATTTTAAGATTTCTTATACCAGCAGAAAATTTTCAGATCTAATTTAACACAGATGCATGACCACATTGTAAATATTCCAGAAAAGAACTCTCAGTGAAATTCATGTTCCTGGAAGTAGTTCTACTTCTCTGGCATATGGAAACTTGTCTATACACAGAAAGTGACTAGACATACAATCCACAAAGCGATGCTCAGCTCATGGTTTGGGAAAGAAATGTACTTTTTATGCTCCTTGGGTTATATCTCCATGAGATGGAATTGGAGCCTTTTATTTGATTTTTATTGTGTAAAAAGCCAAAGTTACTGAAGATTTGAACCTACAAAAAGCTTTCCATCAGAGCAATGCAGACCACTTATATATTTGCATATGAGACCTATTTATTCCTAGAAATGTGCTTAGGTTCTCTCAACTCTTATTTCAGCTATGAGGTTTTCATGTCCCCTCTTTCTGTAGACTGCTCAGGAGCCCAACTAGTCTCTCCAAGTGACTAAATTAAGTATTTTTCTTAAAAGACCACCTCTTTTAGACACATGGGTGTATGAATATACAAATGTTTTAGCATTATACATATGATTTCAGCAACATACATGTAAAATTTTTAGATCTATATAATTTTTAAATATCTATAGAGCATACAATTTTTAAATAAGCCATTATCAGCCTAATTCTCCCCCACTAATTCTGGGCAGAAAAATGTTTGTGCTTTCAGGAGCATAACCAGAACATAATCCAGACCTGGGAATTATTGGGTTTTTTTTTTTTTTCAAAAGATATGAATTTTTATGAGAGTTCTCAGCAAAGAAAAATTGGAAATACAGACTCAGCCAACCCTACCATATTGTGGCTCCTATAATGTACAAGATCTAACTTAAACCAACAAAGATTTTGCTCTGATCATGGATCAGAACCTTGATCTACAGGTTCATCAATGCTCCCTGGTGGACATCAGCTTCAATTAGGTTTTTAGTTGAAAGGACTGGGGGAGAAATTATGCAGATACAGAAGACTTTAGCAAGTCAGAAAAAACTTCTTAAAAAGAAAACTGACATCACACACCTTTATGGAAACTTCTTCTTAAGCAATGAACAAAATATTTACATTTTGTAAAAATATGTGAATAACCAACCACCTTGATCAAGAATAGGTGAGTTCCCCATAAAATCTATTCCTTTTGGTACCACTTACAGATCAAAGGTGATCCAAAAATGGGCTCTATTTTATATGTATTTTTATGTAAAGTAAGTGTTTAAACTGTATCTCTCAAACCAACAGGCGGTAACCCAATATCTTTTGCTCTTGGAAGAACAGAGATATTTTGATGCTTACGGCAGCTTTTACCCGTATTTTAAGAGACTGCAGTGTATCCAGTAAATGTGCGCTATATGTAATGCATTCTTTGACACACATTACATACTATGAGGGTTAACAATGCAGTCTGTCAAGCAATATAAAATAATTTCACATGATTTTATCCAGAAAGAAATACAAATGTATCAAATTGCTTTTTAGAAAAATGAAGGAATAAAATCAAATAAACATGGCGGTATGTTCTCAATATTTCAAACGCCTAAAAAGAACCTTCTTGGAAAACACATCTCAAGCTCACAGGATGAGGATTCAAGAGTTGCTGGACCTCTTAACTCCCTTCAGATAAGTAACTAGCCCATCTGAAAAAGTAAAACTGCAGAAAGAAGGATCCCCTCCGCGTCGAGCTTGCTAAGTGAACTGTTGAAATTTCCCCATCTCAGCAGACTTCTTTCTATAAAGGTCAGTAATCAGACTGCTGGCTGTGAATGCAGACTGAGGAAGTGTCGAGCACTGAGGAACAAGCTAGAATTTGCAGACACATACTCACACCCAGATCACTTTACCAAATATAGCTTACAATCATCTCAGCTCTGCCTCTACTTTTTTCTATTCCTTTACTTTTTGTTTGGCTTTTCAAGACAAAAAAGCCACCAGCTCTGTTCCTGGATTTTCTGGCACTCTTTTTGACGGAATACCTGTAAAGAAATGAGTAAGGGTTTTATTTGTGTCTGAAAGGTTTTCATTAGCACTCCCCTTCCCTCCCCCAACACACGCATGCGCATTTCACACATACATGCACTCACACACGCACACACTCACAGATGTGCTTTTCTTCGGTCCCATGTAAGTTGCTCTAATCATTATGTAGCACTGTTCCATCTCCTCTGTTTTCCTGTTCAGGCTCCATGTTCTCGTGCGCCACTGCTCCTGGCCACTTTCCTTGTCTCTTCCATTCTGTCTGACAGCTGGGCAGACATCCAAGATCTTTGCCATTTTAGTGGCTCAAGGAGTCTACCAGATAGTGTTCAGACTAGAGGGATGACCTCACAAGGAATTTATTTTTCCTTCTGGGTCTAAGTTTTGTGAGTTGGACACAGGACTGATGTATTTTCTAATTCAAGCCAATGGTAATGGAGCGACTGAACCAGAGTTGAAGTCTCTGACAGCTTTCTGTAGATTCAGAGAACCTGTTAGGAGGGGGAAAAAAAGAGTTTAAAGCAGAATCGGTCTTCATCTGAAAATGTGACATGAATTCTACTCGGCATTCCTACCCTGAACATGCTAACACAACAGGTAAAGTCTTAAACATTCCAAAAGTCAATAAACTCAAAGTTATGGTTTTCACAGCAACCGTAACTCATATGTCAGTGGCATTTTCCATGCCTGCAATAGGCGTTAAGTTTACCAGTCCAATGCAAATGTGTAGTGTAGCCAAGTTAGTTACTGAGCTCCCTGACTTTTCTTGACAGGGAACCAGTCAGACCCATCATTATACTCTGTTTAAATGGCACTTGTCAAGTTCCTGGCCAAAAAAACTCCTCTGTTTGTATTACCCTGACTGAAAAGAAGTACAAACTTACAAGGTTAACCCCCTCTGGGTAAACCAGGGACCCAAGGATTCCACATCCCTGTTAGAAGCCCAGAATTCCCCAACTCACATACCCACATGGCTTCCAACCCCCGAGTGTGGTTTGAGTTTTATTTCTCAGTAAACACGTGGAAAAGTTGAAGTACCAGTGGCATGTTAGGATATTTGAGGTAGTTAAGTTGACTTGTTTATAGATCTTTGAAGTTTTATGGACTTTCCAGGTATCATCTCAAGCACTGAATTTCACCAGAAACATCAAATATCAGTATTAGGAAAGTTCACAGTTTGTAGCCTGATACTTTAACTGCTTAGTAAATATTATAGCCTTTTTTATCAGTGGTGAGTTAGTAACTGATAACATTTTCAATGAGCTCTGAAGTTTCTTTATAAGACTGCACCATCTCAAGCCTAGATATTGAGTTCTATGACTGTGGTAAAGAGATAACACTATCTACAATGAATATAGCTTTTGTCTCCACCCCGCCCCCATGAAGTATGAAGAAGTTATAAACTAACTTTGGAATTCATCCCTCCTAAGCCCTGGCTGTGTCCCAGGCCCATTCTACAGGTGGGTTGGCTAAGACAGCAAGAACAATGACCCTAAGGTACTAACATATGTGAGTGAGCCTGGCAGCCTGGCAGCCGTCACATACAGCATCATTGAACATAGAAGAAAAGGCACCCTTCCAGCAAACCAAGTAGAAAAGAAGTATCCCCATTGGACATCCCAATTTAAGATACTTCCTCCCTGATGGCGCTGCCTCTTGCCACGGCGCAAGGCTGCGGAAGTGCAGCCAGTAAAGCCTGGGCTGATCCCAGAAGTCAGGCACTCTTGCACCGGGCACATTACCTGAACAGCCAAACACTGTGACAGAGCTCAGAGAAAACCTGCTCTGGCAAAGCTGTGTAGCTGCTCTAACACAGCCCAAAGTTTGGGCTCAGTCATGTTCGGCCATAAACTTGGTCAACAGTTCATGACTCTATCATCTGGAGAACATCGCCTTATCTCTCTAAGCCTTGATCCCCTCAATATGTAAAACTGACATAATGATAACACCTCCCAACTACAAGTTAATAGATGGAAAGTCCGTAGCATGCATTGTGTTCAATTCTCTGCGATCTCTTGGAGCAATTCTGGTTTAGGGTCAGGAAGCTGAGACTCTGCCTTTCACTGTAGCCCTAACAAATGTGTGACCTTGAAAACTGTCTCATTTTAGGGGCACCTGGGTGGCTCAGTCAATTAAGTGTCTGCCTTTGGCTCAGGTCATGATCCCAGGGTCCTGGGATCCAGCCCCTAGTCGGGCTCCCTGCTCATCGGGGAGTCTGCTTCTCCTTCTCCCTCTGCCTCCCCTGCTCATTCTCTCTCTCTCACTTTCTCTCTCTCTCTTAAATAAATAAATAAAATCTTTTTTAAAAAGTATCTCATTATACTTTAATTCCTTAATCTTTACCTCATGGGAATATTGAAATAATTATAAGTGAAAATACTTGCAAAATAATTTTTATACCACTGTGTTATCTTTGAAAGTAATTACATATATCTGAAGTTTTAAGGTGAGAAAAACAATAGTAGGATTAGAAAATGGGTTTACTCAAATAGAGTAGGAAAAATGATAATGGTACCTTTTCAAGAAGGAAGAGTCTAGCTCCTTCAGGCCAGGGTCGCAGTTTCTTAAAACAAAAATAACTCTGCTCAGGCAATTCACTGCAATTATTTCCACTACGCTGGAGAGAAAGTTCTCACTAAAATAGCTGATAAGTATTACTGATATCCCAGGTGTGTTTTGTGCTTGACTTTGTAAGGTTTTTCACAGGATTCTTTCATGGCTGCTATAAAGCATTTTTCGTGAAAACAACAAGATCTCAAAGGTTCTCACATACAGAGAAGAATGCTCTAGAAACATGGCCATGATCCTCGGTTGGGATAAACATTTTACAATGGGCATTTTTATTTGAGAGTCGAAATATTGAGGGTCTCCCAAATTTCTGACTCACACTAAAAGAGGATAAAAGACTCCTAAAATTACCTTTCCTTTCTGTTGGGACTTCACAGAAACTTCCAAAAAGAAAGAGATTCCTTTTGTCCATTACCCCTTGATCCATTCCACAGGCTTGAGATGGTGCTACTTATTTTAAGCCTCTCCAATCAATAACAATTACACAAAATGTCTTCTCCTGTTTTCTCCTCCACCCTGAGATAGAAGAAGACAGATTGAAAATGGGATAAGAGAAGCTGACCTCAGAGCCAAGCCAGGGTCACTGAAGCAACCTGAATGTCTGGTGCAATGTCAGCACATTTACAGAGCCATATACATAACCAGTGCATATCTCGGGTGGCCCAGACGAGTGATAAAGTCCCAGTGCCACCTTCTCTGCCCTTCACAACCCACAGGTGTTCGAAGGTCAGAAATCTGTAGCTGTCTTACTGATAAAGTCAGCCAGATTATTCATTTAAAATGTCACAGAAAATAAATGGGATTCTTTTCGATATGTTACCATCAGCATTAGGTTTATATCATTAAAATACTTCAGCATTTTACTGACTGGCTTTGGAACATGTTTTATGTCTGGAACACAATTTTTTTTGTTTGTTTGTTTTCAACAAATTTTTGAGTACTCACATGTGTCTGGCAGAGCATTAAGTACTAGAGAAGGGGAGAATAATAAAGATAATTACTGTTAAATAGGAACACTCTGAGGGCTACAGGTACAAGAGGAGTTTTTCAAAAAGAAATTCTTTTCTTAGCTGCTCAGAGTATTGTTACAGAACTGAAAAATGTGTAAAAACAACATATTATGTTAAGTACTATAATAAAGGTAGAAGCCAAGTTTTGTGTGAGTTCCAAAGTAGAAAGCAATAAACTCCCTAGGGGTTCAGGCAGGGCTTTACATTAGAAGTGACATGTGACTATATTCATTTGTAGAGACAGAAAAAGTATTACTGCAATATTATGCTTAATTACAGAAATATGTATTTGGTCTTTCAGATTATTAAAATATATTTCTCACATGTATTTGGTCTTCATCCATCATTCCTTATGCACAACTCCCAAACCCTTGGAATTTTCTAAGTGTTGATGTCAGAAAAGTGTCTCTTACTTTGAGGTGATTTTTCTCCCTCACCTGAGGATGGAGGTGGGTTGCCAGGAGAACCAACCACATGATTAGAGGGTTGGAACTTTCAGTCCCATTCCTCAACCTCCAGGAAGGGAAGAGGGCCTGGGGGTTGAATAAATCACCAATGGTCAATGATTCAATCCATCAAGACTATATAATAAAGCTTCCATAAAAATCCAAGAGCTCAGGCTTGGGAGAGCCCCCAGATCTGTGGCCACGTGGATGTTCTGGGAGGGTAGTATGCCTGGAGAGGGCATGGAAGCTCCACACCTTTTCCCCACACCTTGTCCTGGACTGCTCTTCCATCTGGTTGTTCCTGAGTTATATCTTTTTATAAAAAGAGGTAATCTAAAAAAAAAAAAAATAGAGGTAATTTAGTATGTAAAATGTTTCTCCGAGTTCTGCAATCTGCTCTAGCAAATTTACCAAACCTGAGGAGGGGGTGATGGAAGCTTCTGATTTATAGCCAATGGGTCACAAGTGCAGCTAACAACCAGGTTTTGTGACTGGTATCTGAAGTCTAAGGCAGGACATCATAGGAACCTCCAAAAGATAGCCGATTGGTCAGAAGCACAGATTGTCAACCCAAATCTTTCTTTTTAGGTAAACTGAGGCAAAATCAAATTACCAAAAATGGACTTTATTCAGGAATAGCAGTGAAATTGTGATTTGAGAAAATGCATGCTGCCCTATGCTGCACGCAAATCCTTCTAGGGTTTGGGATGGGCTGTATTTACCGGCACAGAGAGCAAAGAGGGGGAAATCCAGCCCGATCCAAGCAGTATGCTCATCAGCTGAAGAAGGGCAAGAAATTCTTGGCAGATGTTCATTGGTCAGGAGATAAGTCTTGGTCTATAATTCAGGCATTTACCAAAAATCAGTCTCTCACTTAAGTTTCTGTTCTTCTGAGGGTATATGCATGACATTCTCCATGTCATCTCCTCTGGTTACCTTGTAGATGGGAATCTTTTCACTAGATAATAACCCGGACTTGCAATCAGCATCTGAAAGAGGCATTGGGCAGTTTTATGGGATCCTGCCCCCAACCTGGGGAATCTGATGCTGTCTCCAGGCAGATAGTGACAGAATTGAGTTGAATTGTAGGACACCCAGGTTGTGTCACAGAGAATGGCTTGTTGTGGGGGGAAGCCTCCACACATTGGGTGACCAGGGCATCAGAAGTGAAACGTCCCATATGAGCAACACAGGAGACTCACAGGTAAAGAAATACAGTGGGGAAGAGCAGGGTTTCTCTCTACTTAGGACAGAAAAGGCCGAGGACTTTTTCTGTATAATTATACACCATGACCACGTGGGTTTTTTTTCCAGGTATGGAAATGTTTCAACATTTAAAAATCAATGAACATAATCCATCATGTCAATGGACTAAAGAAGAAAAATCATGTGATCATACAGATAGATGCAGAAAAAGCATTTGATAAAATCCAATAGTGATTCCTGGTAAAATTTGTCAGCAAACTAGAAATAAAGAGTAACTTCCCCAAATTGCTAAAGAACAATTACAAAAGACTCAACTAACTTAACATCATACTAAATTGTGAAAAAATGAAAGGTTGTTTCACCCTTCAAAGCAGGAACTAGGTAAAGATACCCCCTCTCTCCACTCCTATTCAACACTACTGGAAGTCCTAGTTAGTGTAATAAGACAAGTAAAAGGAAGTAAAAGGTATAGAGATTAAAAAGGAAAAATTAAATCTTTCTCTGCTCACAAAAGAGACAACGGTGTATGGAGAAAATCCCAAAGATTTGACAAAAATAAATTACTCCTAGATTACAGCAGAGTCATAGGATACAAGGTTAATACACAAAAGCAAATTGTTTTCCATATACCAGTAATAAACAATTGGAACTTGAAATTAAAAACACAATATAATTTATATTAGCACCAAAATCTCCCTGAAATGCTTAGATATAAATTTAAAAAAATACACACAGGATCTATGTGAAGAAAACTACAAAAGTCTGATAAAAGAAGTTTAAAAAATTCTAAATAAACAGAGATATTCCATGTACATGGGTAGGGTGACTCAATGTTGTCAAAATCTCAGTTTTTCTCCATCTCCAGCTATCAATTCAATGCAACACCCATCAAAATTTCAGCAAGCTATTTTTGCAGAAATTAACAAACTGTCTCTACATTGTATATGGCAAGACAAAAGACCCAGAATAGCAAACAAAATACTGAAGATGAGGAAAGTTGAGGTTTGGCACTAGACAACATCAAGACTTACTATACATGGCCGCTTGGGTGGCTCAATGGGTTAAGCCTCTGCCTTCGGCTCAGGTCATATCTTAGGGTCCTGGGATCGAACCCCACATCGGGCTCTCTGCTAAGTGGGGAGCCTGCTTCCCCCTATCTCTCTGCCTGCCTCTCTGCCGACAAGGATGTAGGCAACAGGAGCTCCCATTCACTGCTGGATAGAATGTGAAATGGTGCTACACTTTGGAAGACAACCTGACAGTCTCTTACAAAGCTTACCATAGTCTTAGTATACAAGGAAGAAACTACATAACCTAAGGATTTACCCAATTGAGTTGAAAAGATATGTCCACAAGAAAGAACAAATTTTGAAGATAAGGTAAAGCCCTGCACATGAATGTTTCAGATGATTTTATTCATAACTGACAAAAACTGAAAACAATCAAGGTGCCCTTTAATAAGTGAGTGGGTGAACAAATTGGGTTACAAATGTCCAAAGGATTATTCTTCACTGACAAAAAGGAAAGAGCTATCAAGCCATGAGAAGACAGGGAGAAACCTTACCTGCATATTGATGACCTTGACAGTTTTGAGAAGTAATGGTTGGGTATATTGTGGGATATCCCTCCACTGGAATTTGTTTGATATTTTTCTCATGTTTAGATTAGGGCTCTGTGTTTTTAGGAGGAAGATCACAGAGATAAAGAGCCATTGCCATCACATTGTATCAAGAGTACATACTGTCAACATGACTTATGAAAGTTAATGTTGACCTTGATCATCTGGTTGAAGTATGGCTTGTCATGTTTCTCCACTGTTATATATAGTAAATAAAAGTTACTTTTTTATTTCCCTGGTCTGTACTGTACTCATTGCAAAGAAGTCACTATGCACAGCATACCCTGTAAGGGCAGGAAGTTATACACCCCCTCTTTCAGAGTGGATACATAATTGATTTAGAATTCTTCTGCAACGGACATTTGTCTCTTCTTCACTTAATAATTTATTCATTAACTTACGTACCAGATGATCACGAATAAATCTGACAAAAATTTGCAAGACTTGCTCACTGAAAATTATACATTGATAAGAGAAATTAAAGACCTAAATAAATAGAGAAATACCATTTTCAAGTATGGTTCTTAAGACACAATTATTAAAACCCAACCTCCCACAAATTGACCCACCTAGTGTCAACTCATAGGGTCAATTTGTAGAATTTGGCAAGCTGATCCCAAAATTCATTTGAAAATGCAAATAATCTTGTAGTAGTCAAAATGACTTTGAAAAAGAAGAACAAAGTAGGATCACTCATATTATATGATATGAAGATTTGTTTTGTATCTACTTATTTTATACTTATTATCAGGGCAACATGGTCTTGCCATATAGGTAGGCAGATAAATAAATGACAATGTATACAGTCCAGAAGTAGACTCCTATATATATGAACAATTGATTTTCAGAAAAGGTCTCAAAGTATTTCAATAAGGAAAGGAAAGTATTTTCAACAAATTGTGCTAAAAAGCAGACAGCCATAAGCAAAGGGAAAAAAAAATTTACCATTTACCTCACAACATATGCAAATGAGTCCTAGACTAGGAGCTAAAATAAGAAACCTTCTTGAGGAACATACAGGAGAAAAATCATAGTATCTGTGGGTTTAAGATTTCTTCAATAGGACAAAAATATCACAAAATATAAGATAAAAATACATAAATTAGATTTACTCCAAATTTTACACTTTTATTCTTCCAAAGACATTGTTAAGAATATGAAGAAAGAGAGTCCTCAGGAGAAGCGTCATCGTCCAGAGCAGCAGCGTCTCCGATGGGAGCAGCAGCGCCGCCTGGAGCGTCATCGTCTGGAAGGGTCGTCCTCAGGGCTGACCTCATAGATCCTCTGTATCGGTGAGCTGGGACATGCAGTAGATCTCTGTTTCTGTCCCAGCCCAGTGATCCCACAACTCTAGAGAAACAGTGAGGTCACAACAGCATTAAGAACCCCTCCCAGATTCTTGCATTGAAATCCAGGGAGAGAAAAATATACCTTAAATGAAAATTCAACCATGTCATTCATCTAATCAGAATCTTTAAGTGTCTCAAATACCTAAAGAATAAAGGCCAGGAAGGGGAGACAAGATGGCGGGGAACTTGGAGGAGGCGCCTTTTCAACCTGTACCCTAAAGTGAGCTGATTACCTACCAAAGAACTCCGATCACCCATGAAATCAGCCTGAGATCAGAATTAGACGCGTCTGGATCTCTACAGGGGCAGAAGACGCCAGTGGGCAGGTAAAGCGGAGTGGGAACGTCGGACTGATAACGGAAGATAAACAAAAGGGGGAGGGAGCCACCAGAGGCGACCGATTGGAAAGTAATACCCCAATACGAGAATGCCCTGCGTCTGGGGACCAGCATTAACTTGGAGTCTGGTTGAAAGCACTCAAAAAGAGCAAAGGATTGCAGGGGGAAATTGTGGGAATTGGGGCAGTTAGGGACAGGGGCTTAAGTCCCCAGACCCAGGACAGCCTCCCCTGGCACTGAGCCAGAGAGAGTGTGGGTGGAGAAACCAGGTCTTGGTCCCTGAGCCGCCAGCGCACCCGAGAACACTTGGGATCCTGCTTCTGTGAGGGGCTGGGAGCCTTGGAGACAGCAGAACGCCATGCCCTGCTATCAGAGCCTGAGACACGAGAGCCCCACACCCTCCCCTGGGAGAGTTGCACGCAGGTGCCAGCCTGGTGCTATTGGACCCGGAAAGACCAGGCACTCCCAGCCTGGGCCCTCGGGAAAATCTCAGCATGCGATCACTGCTTGGAACCTCTCTGGTGGTCTGGAGCTGCCCAGACAGCTGCCGCAGCTGTGGTTTTAGGTACAAAAAGATCCTGCATCCCCAGGGACCGCGACTCAGAACCTGTCTGCGAGCAGCTCTGCAGCACCCACAGGGGAGCAGACTGAGGCTTCTCTCTGAGAGGGAAGTCGGGATGCAGTTTGTTTTCCTCTAAACCTCCAAACTATCAAAAACTGTCAAGGTGAGAGAAAAAACAAAAAACAAAAAACGAACAAACAAACATAAAAACCTCCAGATAACAAAAGCCTGAAAAAACCGGTTTCCTCAGAGCCCACCCCCTTGAGGGGGGCAGGAGAACTTAACTCAGGGAACATCATTGACTAAAAACCCACATGGCAGGCCCCTCCCCCAGAAAACCAACCAGGAAAGGAAAAAAAAAAAAAAGAGGACAAGAGAACAACCACCACTACTTCATAGATACAACTTTTATTTTTAACTCGTTCCCACTATTCTGGTTCATTTTTTTTATATATAGATAATTTTATAATCTTATACCATCACAGTGAGATGTCCAGTACATCAAATTCCATAATAACCTTCTAACCTGAACTTTTTGATACATACACCCATGTTTTTCTTTTGCTTTTCTATTTTTTTAATTTTTTTTAAATTTAGTTTAGTTTAGTCTAGTTTATTCTTTTTTTATTTTTATTTTCTAATATTCACATAGACTTAAACTTCAAGGTAACCCCTTTCCCCAATCAATGCTACCCCTATAGGTAAACCAATTTTTAATCCCCCTTTATCTTAGGAAAGTTGAGTCCTTTAACAAAGATATCAAGATACATCCAGGAAGAATCAAAATAACCTTCCTCGCCCACACTGAGAATTTACAACCACTCTCCCATCTTTTTCTTCTGCCAGTGTTTCTGTGTATTTGTGTTTGTCCTG